AAAATAGGTCATTTTTGGCCATTTTCGGGCAAAAAGCATGAACTATAGCCCATGGTTTTAATCGATTTTGGGCTATTTTCACACCTTTTCAAAAAATATACATTATTTAAGGGAAAGACAAAATAGGTCTTTTTGGCCATTTTCGGGCAAATAGCATGGACTATAGCGCATGGTTTTGACCAATTTTGGACCATTTTCACACCTTTTAAAAAAAATATGCATTATTTATGAAAGATGCAAAATAGGTCATTTTTGGCCCATTTGGGGCAAAAAGCATGGCTTTGGACCATTTTCACACCTTTTGAAAAAATATGCATTATTTATTAAGGATTCAAAATAGGTCATTTTTGTCCAATTTAGGGCAAAAAGCATGGACTATAGCCCATGGTTTTGACCGATTTTGGACCATTTTCACACCTTTTGAAAAAATATGCATTATTAATGAAGGATGGAAAATAGGTCATTTTTGGCCATTCTCGGGCAAAAAGCATGGACTATAGCCCATGGTTTGAACAATTTTGGGTGTTTTTCACACCTTTTCAAAAAAGATGCATTATTTATGAACAATGCAAAATAGGTCATTTTTGGCCAATTTGGAGCAAAAAGCATGGGCTTACCTATGGTTTTGCTGCACCTTTTGAAAGGATGCAAGTCCAGAGGTTTGTAACAATCGAGATTGAATGATGTAATATCTATTAGAACTATTTATTAATAAATAATTTTAGAGATGCTCAATGTCTAACTAATATCTTAAGAAAATTCCAGCTTATGGAATTTTGTGTTGCCATTTGAAAAAAAATGGTAATATGATTTTCAATATGGTTAAAAAGAATATGGTTTAATCCAAAACTATTATATTAGACTTAGTTCCAGTTAGACGCTAACTAGCTCTGAATATTCCCCCTAGTATCTCTCTTGTCGACATTTGATTGAGCTCTCTGCTAGTTGCAAGCTCAGTACTTGTCAATTCAGGCTCCTCTAATGTAACAAAATATGATTGTATCCATTGACGACACATTGGACACTTGGCCTCAAGTTTACTAAAGCATAATCCACAAACACAGGCATGTCGACAGGGTAGTAACACCCTACTGACGGCCATGCTATGACAGATAACACAAGTAGCACTGGTGAGTGATGTATCAGAAGCTAGTGAAGAATCCATTCCATTATTGGAGGACGTTGCATCACTCTGACTTGACTGGCTGTCTGAGACAAAGAGTTTCTGATGAAAGAAAAAATAGTGAGTTAGATGTCAATTTATTTTGTTTCTCCCTGGAGATTTGGTGAAGTGGTGTAATGTTTTCCCATTTTAGAACAAGTTTCATTCTCTTGGGAATAAGATTCTTTGAGTTGTATTCATCTTAGGTCGAAGCTGAAAATTATTTTAATGGTATATTGCTTTAACATGTAACTTACCTTCAAAGGAAAGATGTTTCCATTAGCTGTTTGTACGTACTGTGAAGCAATACTAAATGTTTTATTATCTGGACTTGATTTGGAGCAGCATAATGTGGTAATAAGTGCAACCTGGAAGAAGAATTTGATGACAAACATCAAAATTAAAAATCAATCAAAATCTTTACACTCTTTCCTTACCATTACATCATGACTCAATACACTGATAAGAACAAACTTTTGAAGCTTTTATGTGTACTTTTTTAAAGAAGTCATTATACATAATGTTAAAATATTACTATGGCCTTGTGCTTTCATCACCTTCTCGGCGTTTGGAGCCCTGATGAAACAAAAACTATGAAACATTAACACCTGCTTTTGATATATTACTTACAATGTCGCAAGATTTCACTTTCTTCTTTTCCTCATGACTCAAATTTCTTGACCTCTCAATAACGAATACCAGTGGAAAAGTTTGGTTTCCTTGCTGGGTTGATGATGCCGCTAACTGTGATTCAAACTCTGACAGTATTTGTACGTCTGCTACGTATTCTTTTCCTGGGTTATAGCTTATAGGACATCAAGGGAAAAAACAGCTTCAAGTAGAAGAAACACAGTCAAGTAAATTTGCAAAAACACCCACTTCTAAATTGTCTACAACATGTATGCTTTGAAAAAGTTTTGGAAAAAAAAAACATGAATATTTGTTCAATGATTTATGTTTCCTCTCTAACAAGCTTGCCGTAAAACTTATAAAAATAGGCACCCTGCAGTTATAGTATCATTTACTAACACTACCAGAATCTCTTGCACACTTTTCTATCCTTCAGTTTATTAGCAACAATTGCTTTAATAACTACCCTCACAAGGGAATAAAAAATTGAATAATAAAGAATATATCTGAAGCATATTCTAGTAGTGGTATAGTTAAATGACACCATCAACCAACCTATGCTTCCATTTTCGAACAAGATAAACAAGGATACTATTCCATTGGACCTTTGCTTTCATATGATCCTGATAAGATTCTTTCGAATGGAATTATTTGGGTGAATTCCTCTTCATCTGCATCAAGGTTATTTTCATCATCATCATAATCATCATCATCATCATCACCCCTGTCAGAATTCTGAGTAGTACTTTGTTCTTTGGCTACTGCATTTTCAATACTCAAGACAGAGACACCCCAGTATGTTGTCACATAGCAAGGTACTGTACTGTCGAAAAGAAATGATAATTTTCCTGAGAAAGAAAGAAAAAATAGAATTTATTTAAGGGCTTCAACTTGTCATTATTCCAATAAAAGAATGAAAGCTTCTTTATTTATCGATATCAAAAACAGGAAAAAAGAAGAAAATCAAGTTTCTTGGTTCCCCATTTTCGTCAGCCCCCTCCCTTTGACAACTAACCAGCCTTACAATTATAACTGCACTTTCTTACCATCTCAACCTTCATGAATTTGAAAAACCTGGCATATAGACTTATACTAATCCCATTCTATTTCCCATTTCCGGTGGCCTAAATCACAGTCCAAAATCATCAAATCCCACTTTTTTTCTTCCAATAAAAAGACATGAAAATTCCTATTTCCATTTTTATCCTTTTCTTTTTTTCCCTTCATCACCCTTACATGATCTAGGTGTCAGGAGTACCCATCCCCCCCACCCCCCGATGCCACCAAAGCCAGCCACCTCCCCCTCTCCAGTGCCACCACACCTACCTCTTTGGAAAGAACGATCCTCGATCATCTTCACAGAGAAAGGGTTTCGAACTTCTACCAAAAATTTAGCGGGAACATCCATCGCGCTACGTACGACAGGGCCAACAAATGCCCTTGCTTCCATTACCCCGAGTCTCGAGACGAATAGGCCTAAAGAAAGAAACCCTAAAACGATAATAAAAACAGACAAGACGGTTAACAAGTCTGCCATCGTCCCCACCATCTTGGATTGAATGAAAAACATGAGCCCGTAGTACCACAGGGAACCCAGATTCTTTAAAAATATTTGCGTTTTTAAAATGACAAAACAATTTTCACTTAAGCAAAATTACAAAATAACAAATAACGAGTCCTTGTGAGTTTTATTAATATTTCTAATTTTTTCTTATTTATATCTATAGTGACAAATTTATAGAAAACTAAAGGAACGAATAAATAGTTGGTCTACCTGTGGTAGAGCAAGCTTTGGTCAGCGGTGTGTTAAGCTATCTTCATAGATCTTGTATAAAAATGGCGGAAGCTGACTGTAAAGACAATAAGACTCCAAAGAGATACGGATCAGTTATAAAACTGAAGCCAGGAATGTATGAACGGTATAAAGAGCTGCATGCTGCAGTCTGGCCTAAGGTTAGTCCAAAGAAAAACTAAAAAGCTTCTGTAAACGCAGGAAAATGATGCATTTTTTTCCTTCATTGCTCCATTTTGTAGTACCGCAAAATATACCTCCCCCATGGAGGGGGATTGGAATTTTCAAGGGGTGGGGAGGGTCTGAGGAGGGTATATTGTGTAGTACCACAAAATATCCATACCTCCCCCATGGAGGGGATTGGAATTTCCAAGGGGTGGGGAAGGTCTGAGGAGGGTATATTGTGTAGTACCACAAAATATCCATACCTCCCCCATGGAGGGGGATTGGAATTTCCAAGGGGTGGGGAGGGTCTGAGGAGGGTATATAGTGTAGTTAGGGAAAATATTCTTACCTCCCCCATGGAGGGGGGTTGGAGTTTCCAAGAGGTGGGGAGGGTATATTGTGTAGTTCCAGAAAATATCCATACCTCCCCCACAGACGGGGATTGGAATTTCCAAGCGGTGGGGAGGGTCTGAGGAGAGTATATTGTGTAGTTTCAAAAAATATCCATGCCTTCCTTACATAGGGGGATTGCTATTCCCAGGCGGGTAGGGAGGGTCTGAGGATAGTATATCTTGTAGAAAATATCCATAGCTCCACCATGGAGGGGGATTTGTAAACCTTTGAATTTGATAATCCACTGATCAGTACATTATACCTACCTGAACAGGTTCTTGAAAGGATTTACAAGAGCAATATAAGAAACTACGCCATATACCATGACAAAAATACTCAAGTCTTGTTTTCCCATTTTGAATACATTGGTGAGTTGGGCCGAAATGATGATAGTCATTAGTAGTAACAGTAGAGATAACTAGCTAAAAACTAGTGTAAGCTGCGGCGTCGGTGTTTCTAATGAAACAGTAATGATAAAAGGGTAAATTTTACACTGTGAAAAGATGAAAAAACTTACTGACGTTTCGGACACTAGTCCTTTGTCGGAGTAAAAGAGTCAGAGTAGTAAGAGTAGCTAATTACATTTGTCTGTGTATTTTGTTGGGGATTATGCTCTTCTGCAATAGCAATGTAACCTACTGAAAACTATGAGGTGGGGCTATCCACTCAAATATCATAAATAGCTTCAATGACACTCCCTTCTGCTCAAACTATATGCAGACTCTCAGTAGACACTAAAGTGTCATAAATATGAAAAATATTTTTGATAGCCCCACTCCAATCCCCATAGCCCCCCACCCCATAAATTATGAACCCTCCCTAACCTGGTCTCTTGTGACACCACTATCTCACCACTATGCCACTAAGAAATAAAATATCACAAACAATAGGACATACTGTCGACATTTCACATTTATTTTGCATAAAAACATCTGAATATTTATGATATCATATCAATAAGCCTTTTCATAGTTTAAGAATCGATTGCACTGCGCATGCGATTTTATCTAACTTCTTTTGTCTAAACCTTCTTTTGTTCTTAATTAAACAAAAGAAGGTGAGAAATTCGGGATAAAATCGCATGCGCAGTGGAATCGATTCTTAAACTATGAAAAGGCTTATAGGAGATATCAAAGGTACACTCTATTGCATTAGAAACAATTGTTTTGCATCAAGGCATTTGGGTCCATAAAATGAAAACTGAATGAACAATAAAAACTGACCCAAACGTAACAATTGTTTGAAGGCAATAGTGTAACTCTGATATCTGCTATTTGTCGTTGTATACTGTAGCTATTAAAATACACGGTTATAAATGTTCATAGGTGATAACTTTGAAGCTGATATGGCAGCCATTGCAGCAGATCCCATTACTATAGACTGGTGGAAGGAGTGCGAGCCTTGCCAGGAGTCGTTTGATTGGACAGGACCTCCCCCATCAGAGGGAGGGAAGGGAGGCAACTGGTGGGTGCCATGTGAAGAAATGTTCCATGATGGGCACAGCCCTACTAAATATTCTTAACTAAAGTTTATAACATGATGCACAATAATTTTCGTACTCTATCAACAACCCAAAAGTTTTTAAATCAAAATTTAAAAAATTAAATTATTAAAAATATTGGTTCATAGAGAAGTCCAAAATTCATATTCCCCAATATAGTACTGAATACGATAAAATTTTATAAAATGTTGTAGTTAAATTTTCAAAGTTGTGGTTCCAAAATAAGGAACTTTCTATTATTCATGGTTAATAAAATGGGTAAGCTAACCCCTCCCCTCCCCCCTAGATTTAAAACTGAATCCCCCCTGGATATTTCCAATGCTTTACAGAATCTTAATAAAATTGTTACGTATTTTCGGAAACATGGGCAAGGATTTTTTCCATGACTACAACGTCATCAGTGCATTAAAAGGCCAAGAGATTTTTTCTTTTTGTAAAGAAAAATCTTTAAGAGTAATGCTTTCATTTCCACTATCTCTTGGTCGAATCTTATCAAAAATAATATCAAGGTTACAAATAAGGAAGAAATAAAACATTAGAGAACGCCCAAAGTATAATGATTTTTTTTATGTTACCGCTTTAAAAAAACCTGATTACGTCTGGCTAAATTGGACTCTAAATATATAAAAGAAATGTTTTCAAGGGAAAGAGCAATCGTGAAATCATCATGCCCAAAATAAAATAAATGTAAAACTCAACTGCTAAAATAAAAACTTTTAAAATCTAGTGGTCATGAATTCAATGCTATTAAGAAATTTTTGGTTCTTAGCTTTGCGCTTAGCGTTGCGCGTAGCGTACGACCGTCTCGCCCGTACTAGTCTGAACGTTACGCGAATGACATGAAGTGCAAAGAACAGGCACACGATCCCCAAAAGAACAGCCAGGATTATAGAGTTTCTGGAAGAAGGGTTCCAGTTTTCCAGTAAGCTGGCTGTTAGAGTAACTATCGAGACGGGATAAATGCTGAACGTAAACCGAGTTATCCACAGGAAAACGAGATTTTCAAGAATAAACCATATTATTGCCGATGTGATGGCCAAAGTTAGAGAAACTGTGGTCGTGGTTAGTTCTGGGACGCCATTTCTGTGGTTTAGTACGATTGATAACCACATTAAGCTGTTGAACCATAAGACTACTACATACCCGACTAGTCCATTCAATATTAGAAGCTGAAATCCCCAGAAATCGCCAAGGCTGTGCTCCTCATGTTCGTATTCATATTCAAACTTTACGTACGAGAGGACCAAGGCGAAGACCTTGAGGGACACCGCAGAAAAACTCGCTACACACGCTGGAAGTATCATATTCCGGCTGACAAAGATTATAAAAGCGATTTCCAGACCGCTGGAAGAGATGAATAGTACGTAGAATAGAAAGTTTAAGGCGTCAGGGAATTTCTTCTTGAAGAGTATTGCAACAGCAAAGACCATCCAAAGCCCTTGCCAAGCGAAGAGAGTATAGACTAGGTACCTTATCCACCATGCAGGGAAGATTGATACCCTGTAGCGATCATAAACCAACCGACTAGTTTCGTTTCCCAAAAACCATTTGAAAAAATACTTGTTTTCTTCGTCGATGAAATATAATAAGCAGATGAAGAATCCGAAAGCCAGGAGATTAAACAGCGATAAAACTGCTCGAAGAATTAACGAAAACATTTTCACTTTCATCGCTTGTAAATGTTATGTCGTGTGTCCTTTTGGATTCTTGCCAATACGTATTGAATGGAAATATAGATGTATTAGGTGACGTGAATATATTCACGTACGTTTTAAGTGTTTTTTTATCTGTATCTTTATGTAGATTGGCTATCTCATTCACTTTGGTTCTTGCAGTCCTCTATTTACACAGACGTTGACATCTGTCATCCGGGAAACAAATTAAAACTTTCGAAGTGAATTATCCTGAAAAATTATCAGGAAATCTTACGCTTTTCTTATTTTCTAAGACCCCTTGCCACTTCACACACGGAATGCTTAACCTCGATAAATTTTAGGTCAATCGTGACATATTTAACTATGGTATTAACGAGTTTGGACGAATTCTAGCTTCTGTTATTCTGAAAGTTAACCCGGCTTCGTTGTTATTATCCCTCCAAGCTCAGGAAAATAGTTTACGTAATTCCTACAAAATCGGTTACCAGAATAGATTCTCCTCGAAGCTCTGTGTCGCCTTCTACATAAATTCCAGTCTTTTTTAATTAACTGACTCAAATTACTTGGTTGAGTTCGTACCAATACTGAAGAGGTGTTTTCTCGCTTCTTTGCTATGCGTATCCAAGTAATAGATTAAAAGAACTGTCTTAGCCTTGACAGGGAATTAAATATAAACTTATCGAGTAGTTTGTACGTTCATCCAAGCGGCGAGAAATAATCAAACGAGTCCGTAGGATAAATGTTATGAGTATAAATCAAATATAAGAATCCGGTCCAATTGTGACAGACAATTCCTTGACCAACGTGAAGTATATAATAATCCAAGAACTTGTTTTTTTAAGATGTGTTGGCTTAAATTGTCTTGATTCGTTGGCTTCGAGTGCAATGCTTCCTCTCTGACAATAAATGCGACGACTTCATGCACGAACACGTAACTTATTAACCTGTTATCAAGAGTTCTTAAGTTCATAATTAAAATGTCCGAGTACGTAAGAGTCTTAACTTACAAGACAACATTATTACGCGAAATTTCTAGAAAAAATGATATTTTTAAAGAAACGAAATACAATTCATTGTTAGCGATCCAAAAATTCATATTTTAATTTAGAATATTGATTAGAATCATCGAAGCGTCAAGATAATAACATTGCTATCATTCCGAAGTTTTTTTCAAAGTATTGCGGAAAACACAGGGAACCCACAAGAAAGATTTGAGGATTTGAAAGCAAGTCAGTACTGGGACTGTTTATTCAGATTTCCTGCATTTTTGAAAACTATACCTTAAGGATGGTGGGTACAGTTCGCGACCCATTCATCAAAATGAAACTGTGTCAGTTATTTAGAGTACCTAAGGGGCTATCTAAAAACGTGAAAAAATTTGGGGGTTCCCCACGCATCCAAGCAAGATAATTGTCATTAAGACCCGATGACGTGAGCGCATTTTGAAGCACTTCAAAAAATCGCATATCCCTTGTGTTTGGCTTAAGTACATCGAAATCTTGTCTAAAATAACCTTAATAAATATTTTTCATATTAAAAAAAAGATTTGAAGTTGCAAAGATGAAAGTAAATTTTTTGTCTGCTTTTGCGCAAAAGTAGGTGAAATTACAATTTTGGACAAATACACAAAATCAAAAATGAAACCACCCAAAACTATTTTTATTTTTTGAAAACATTGGAGTTCCTGTGGATTACGTAATGTGCGCAGTAAAAGTGCGCGCTGACAACTGTACCCACCATCCTTAAAACTAGCCTGCGTCACATCCGGAATTTTCTTCGTAAATACCGGTATTTACGAAGAAAATTCCGGATGTGACGCAGGCTACCTTAAAGCTAAAAAAACCTTTATTTTTTGTATTTTCTTTTGAAATAGGAGTATGCAAAGATTGAAGAAAATATTGTGTATAAAACTCTATAAAACTCTTGCAATAAAAATCTCTACAAAACAGTAAGGTACTCCACAACTAGAGTGTCGTTGTCCTCGCTTGAATTTTGCTGCAGAAGTCTTTCTTCAGATTTGCCCCAAGAAGAAGGAACGCATTGTTGAAAGAAAGGAATTGTAGCACCTAAAAACACGACGGAGGCTGCCATGAAGAAGGCTGGGTTGTAAGACGAAAAAGTGTCTGCCATCTTACCTATTTTGATTCAGAAAAAGAAACAAATTGTCAATTAATAATGATCGTTACGTTAGTCTAGTTGGTGATGATGTTGATGTGATGATGAGGAACAGGACAGTGATGATGATAGTAATTCAAGCATAATGATAAAGTTGGTGATAATGATAAATGGTGAGAGTGCGATGATGACTTGATGCTAATTATGCTAATGGAGATGATAACGAAGATGATGATATCGATAGTAATAAGGATCATTAGTAATGTTGATGTTGACGATGGTTGTGATGTTATAGTGATGATAATGATAATGATGATGACGATAATGGTGATGATGATAATGATGAGAGTAGTGGCGTTCAGTGGTACCGTTGGTGGTGAAGGTAATAAATGATATTCCCAATCAAGATGGCAGAACTGAATCAATAAATATATTTAGGCTAGGGTAAAGAACCGACACTTACCCGCAAGGGGTGGGCCTCCAGCAGAAAAGACAGCAGTACACCCCACAGAGAGACCAAACGCTACAGCACGCTCCTTCGGAGAAAGGCAATTAAGTCTTGTGTAGTTCGACGTAGTTATGAAAAMCCCATCAAACAAGCCATAAAAGAAAAAAGATGTCTGCAACAAAAGTAACGTTCTCGCAAATGGCAGTGCTAGTATTGTTATAGCTGTTCCGTATCCTGCCAATTGACACAAGAGTTTCGGGCTGACTCGTTGAAATTTACTGAGGAAACCAGCAGCAATGCGGCCGAACGAAGATGTGATACCGTAAAATATGAATAACGAAGATGCATCTTGTCCTGAAATACCAATGCCTTCACAATATCGAACCTAGATTAAAATATTAATGTAAAACTTACAATTAAAAGTAAGAATACTAAAGATTTAGGTATATAAAGCTTCTAATGATGGCAATCAACCRCAAAATGAAAAACGCTAAGCCTAAGAAGAGTTTTGGGCCGGTGTGCAGCTTGATATTATGTGGTTTGTGATTTTGAATTCCCACATGATGGAAGTCAAAATTTATTTCACGAGAACCCAACAAGAGTCAGATTTTTTTAGGGTTTTTAAAAATGAATAGCAAGGGTTCCTAATTCCAGCTGATCTTAAATACTGACAAAAAGATGACATGTGTACTTGCCGGCCTATTGCGAAATATAAAACTCAATGATTATTGTCAAACGCTTATAAGCAACAAATTAAGGTTTGATTTTCATCTGCTGGCCTAGACAAAACTGTAATTTCAAGAGGAAAAGTGATACCTCTTTTTTTCAAATTTTCTTAACAAAATGACAAAATAAATAATAAACATTTCCTGTGATTTCTACTTACAATATGAACATTTGGGATGTACTGTGCAAAAAACTCCACCGATGAGCCCACGGTCATTATGACGAAGAAAACGTTCCTCCAAAAAGGTTGATCAACGGGAGTTGTACGAACAATCACTCCTTGCCCACGCCTATCACTATTCTTCCGTACCACTTGAGGGGCGTTTCCATGGTTACTAGTACTAGTCCCAGTAAACATCCCCAACACGCATATTATAATAAGAATACCGCTGGAAATTCGGAATGTCGTATGCCACGAGAGGCGATCGAGCAGGAATTGCAGGAATGGAGCGAAGCAAAGTATTCCAATTCCTTGACCAGCGGAAATGAAACCAGTTGCTAAAGCACTGTGCTTTTCAAAGTTTAACGGGACGGCGACGATTGCAGCAGTGAATATAAAACTTGACCCAATGCCGAATAGAAAACAGTACGTGAAGAAAAGAAGAGCAAACAAATCGACGAACGAAGACGAAAGAAGCGACACAGCGCAGAGGAAACCTCCGGTAATTAGTGTTTTTGTGCAACTGAATCGATGACAGAAATAACCAGAAATTGGACCAAAAAGGAAGGCGAAAGACATGGTAAGGGAGGCAAGCAAGGCTGAAATAAGAAAATTCTAAAATCAATATTAATGTTGAGAATAAACCCCATATACTGTCTAGTGCTTGTTTTGATGACGTCAGTTCCGGTCTCGAGTGGAATTTTGAGTGCAATTGTAAGTTTTCTGGGAAACTAAAGGGTTTCATATTTACTGAAGGCCTCCATTCTTCAGCTGATTGATGCCTAGCAAAAGAACCATTTCCTCTCTGGATGACAGAACATGACGGGCAGTGGTTTGCCTGTCATTGTCATTGCCTATCATTGTAGGCTGGTTATGACAATCATTCAACTGATTGACACCGGCCAATATAATACTCTGCATGGTTGATAGAACATGACGGGCAGTGTTTGCCGGTCATTGTAACCTGGTAATGAGATTCATGAGATTCATTCAGGTGATTGATACCAAACAATAGAATACTCTGCATGGATGATTGCACATGATGGGCAGTGTTTGCCTGTCATTGTAACCTGGTAATGAGATTCATTCAGCTGCATGATATCAAGCAATAGAATACTCGGCATCATTGATAGCACATGACGGGCAGTGGAGCAAATGGAAGCTGCATAATAATGATATGCCTACCTGCCATTCAATCCCGACTGCTTGGGTTCCTTGTACTGAAATTCCCATAAGACCGCCAAATCTAAGTTTCAAATTTAGTTACCTGTTTCTCCGGTGCTTGACTTGAAATACTTCATCATTACCGGCAACAATACACCAAAACTGTACGAAAAGCCAAGAGCAAGGGCGACACACAGACTACCCGACATACAGGTAACCCATGACCAAAAACTGTCCATTGGATATTCCCTGTACGAATAATAAATAATTCCATCAGAAACAGAGAATTTAAGGGGAGGGTGAGTAGGTGAGTTGGTTTTTCTAATACTCCAGTTTCAAGTTCAGTTGCCTCAGCCTTAATCTTGGTTGTGCGTAGAGCGCATGCAGTAAAACCATGAAATAAAAACAAAGTTGATAGAGTGCTTACACTAAATCCGTGAAACAAATACTAATTTTTAGCACTAAATAGTGATAATTAAACAATAGAAAACAAAGGATTCTGTATGAAATAGTACTAATTAGTACTACTTAATGTTCACGGTTTTAGTGCGTGCACTCTACTGACAAATAGAAGCTATTTAGTGACTAATAGTTGCTGTCACTCAACCAGAACATTCACTACGCAAAAGACAAATACACAAGAGACCATTTGTGTCTTTTGTGTCATGAAAGTTCTGGTTGAGTGATAGTAACTACTAGTCACTAAATAGCTACTAGTCTATTCTTCAGTATCAACTTTGTTTTATTTCATGGATTTACTGCATGCGCTCTATAATATTCGGCTATTCGACTAAAACCCGAGTACCCAAGTATATTCCTTATTATACGATGGACCGTAATGAAAATAAGGAACTCATTTGTACACAATCAATGCTCAGCTGAGCAAAGAGAACTCGGAGTATTGAGAACGATTCACCATACTCTATAAAATGTTTCTACTTTGTCAGCAGGGGCGGGGAGTGGTGTTTGCTAAGAGGGGATAAAAATCCCTTGCATTTCTCGAAAGTATATATATAGTACATACCCTATCAGTAAGCTTGGTTAAGGATTGGGATTTTAAAATAGAAATAAATGTATGGAGACTATCGCATGTTAAGAGCTTGGTATCGTTTTTATTCACGGGTTTTCATATCAGCAGCGACATGCTGATATGGAAAACGAGTGGAAACAATTTCAGGTTCTTAACATGTGATAGTTTGTCTATTACACATTTAGGGTCTATAAAATGACAAAAATTACAGTTTCAGTTCACCGTGAAATGATATCGTATCACTCCACTCATATGGTTTTTATTCACGGATTTATTAGCTTCAAAAGATTCTTTCTACATTTCCAAAATAAGAACTAGTTATGGCAAATTTAATATCCGTTACGTCGGTGCCATTACTTGGAACAAGATCGATGATGAATTTTAAAAAAAAACTAAACGTTGAGGTTTTAAGAAAATAATAATAGATCACTTTACACTTTACTCTTCGCCCATAGTGTCTTTTTCTTTCCCTTTATGGATTTCTTTTTCTTTTTTACTCCAATCTAAGTTACATTTGTTTTTGGATTTTCCTATTTCTAAACTTATTCTTGCAACAATTATATCAAATAACAGTACCAAATGACCAATTTGCTATTTTAGGTGACAATTGGTTCCCCAAGTTTTTTTATTATAATTCTCAAAATTGTACCAATTAATCTGCAAATCAGAGGGCACAAATAAAGTTCTATTCCATTCCATTACAATGATATCGACACGACCCTAAAACACTGGTGTAATATAATAGGATACCGTGGTCTTGTAAAGTTTTCAAACATATATAAAGATGCATTCAAAGCACAGAACGTATTACCCAGCGTGATACTTCTTTACAAGTCCTCTGTACAAGTGGTCGAGTGACATGTCAACTTGCCTTTGTTTGCTCTACTATAGGCCAATCTTTATTTACGTTTTTTCCTCATTAGCATTTAAATTTCAAGCTATAAGCAAACCGACTCCAGAAATCGAAAGGGAAAGTCTTATTTAGTAACTACTGAAAATTTGAGAGTAGTATGTTTAATATTTTTGGAGTAAAATGTTTTTGAAAACACTATGAATTACACCAAAAAAATTGTCGTGTGGTAAGACTTGCCACACGACAATACATTTCTTCGCAAATACAAAGCAAGAATAGAAAAAAAGAAAATAATAGAAAAAATTTAACAAATTCTCATATCAGTTTTACTGATATCTGATAAAACCTTCGTGCTTTCTATGTTGCTTACGATACAGTACTCAAATCACAGAATACGGACGTGATGCATCTCGTAACTCAGTCTAGTAGTTTTATGAATCGTATCGAGGCGTGAAATATAAAATCAGTCTCTTTTCTTTGTCAACAGTAGCCTGTTATTATGAGTGTGATTGTGCTATCCATGCAAAACGTTGTGAGCGAGAAATTTTAAAGAAAAATTGTCGAGCTACTTTCCCACTCATGCACGTTTCACCGTAACATTCTGAGTTTATGAAGTCGTCCCACAACTACACTGGAACTATAAATGACTTTCTCGTTCACAACGATAATAATTAAACTACTTGAAGCACAAAATATATAAAGATTGAACACCAATCAAAGAATTTCAAATCCACAACTAATATTTCGAATTCTCTTTGTCAAGAATCGAATAGAAAGATTGATTGTACATTTTTCTTGTGAGACGTTATAAAAAGATATTAGAATTATTTTTCGCTAATTCCCTTCCGTATATAAACTGCCTAAAGATTAGTCTATATTTTACTCAAATATCTTACCTGTTTTTACATTTTAGAACCATTTTTCCAAGCGGATTTACTAGGCTTTTGACGCTGATTTTCTGTTCTTGGTTACTGAAACGTGGTTGTTTTTGAATAATATAAACATGACATGCGACCTCAAAATTAGCATTACAAAAGAAAACTAATAACAAGTAAATAGTAATGGCTTTGTAGTTGTATTATAAAATCCCCAGCACATCAAACACAACCGGGTAATCCACAACCGGCAGAACGAAGCCTGGGAATGGATGAACAAACAATGAATGGTGAGATAAAACAAAGAACGCAGCTTACATGTAGAACAATACACATTGTTCACCATAATCTATGCTTTCTTTGTTTTTGTTATTTTGTCCAATCTCAAGCTTCGTTCTGCCAGTGGACACCGACCTAACACAACACGGAAGCAACTTCAAAAATTAGAACTACTTAGAAATCAAACGAGTGATTTGTTTTTTCATTCTTACCTGTAAAAACCTGTCATAGAGACAGACAGGCACAAAACATACACTCATCCTGAGCACAGAATCTGAAATTGAAAAACAAAAACGCTTTCAAGACGTTAAAACTTATACGGTAATTATGTTTTCTGATATAGACACCATAATTAGTTAGTATAGATTTTTCTTTATTGCTATTCCCAAGAGAATTGAATAACAAAAGACACGGCGGCCATGTTGGAGGATATAACAAAATAATTCATTGACAATTCTTTTGTTAAGTTCCTCCAACATGGCCGCCGTGAAAACCATCGATAAGTTTCGAATTTTAGAATAGTCCCCTTCACAGTTCCCTGCGCCATCTTGAAAGGTAGCCGTGCGTTTTCATCGAAGAGAGACAAACGATGAGCTTGCAATGATAGAGACATGTAAATAATTGTTCAAGGTGTTAAAAAAAGGTCTCTATCATTGCAAGCTCACCGTTCGTCTCGCTTCGATGCAAAGGCACGTACGGCTACCTTTCAAGATGGCGCAGGGAACCGTTAAAGGGACTCTTAAAATACTCCACTGTCGTCTGTGATTCAATGCAAATTCGTTTAAAATCTATCGAGTGATTTGTTTTTTCTTTTTCGCTTTTTTGTCAGTCTGTTGCGGTACCCTAACAGAAACGAAAAATAAGTAAGCGAGAAATTTAAAAAATCGAAAAATATCACACTTTTTTTCTGTCTTCATTTTCTTTCCCTTTTTTGGTGTGCACACTTTTGTAAGTCACGTGCTTCCTCTGCTATCTACCACAGGAAGCCCATAAAGACAATGCTCTAGTCTGGCAGGTCGTATAATGAAGCTGTCTTGAGCAATCAAATAAAATTGAAGTACACTTCTCAGACAGGAACCATCAATACTTTCATTTCTTCCATTCAATACAATTAATAGTCTATTTTCCAATTKATCTATTATTGTCCAGGCCGCCTGAGCTCGTTCGTTGAAAGCTTCTCGGATTAGGAATTAATCGTGTTCACTGTCTAGAAGAAAATTATGTCTTTCGATGTAAATTATGTTAGGTACCAAGAGTTTTGTTTTCCCCGTTAATTAACCAGGTAGCAACAAATAATAGTTCGACAAAAGATTGAAGAGACGAGTAGGCGAGGGTTTCAGAAGCCAAGAGGGCTCTTCCATGTTTACGAGTTCGMACCTGACCTTCATTCTACTTCTGTCACATTTTATGACTCGTTATTTAGTATATTTCCCAAGTCAATCAATCGCCTAATTCATGCCATAATCAATGCCTTCACCCAGTTTGATTTTTAGGCTTTCCTAGACATTTTCAAAAGGTTTCTAAAGCGAGATAACTCAGACAGATCAGGTCATTTTTTCTTCTTTTTTTTTACGAATGGTATCGACGTTACAATCTTTTATGACGGCCCGATTTGAAGGAAGCGAAAACACGATTCTAACCAAAACAAAGAAAGCACTCATGAGTCAATGACGAGAGATAAGAATCCTCGAATTTAGTAATGGTACTTTTGTAAGTGAAAGTCAGTGGTTTTGGCTCATAACTCAGTGATCGTAAATAATAGATTTGCAATCTAGTTTTTTGTTTTGTTTTGTCCATGTTTGGTAGAATAGCATATTTTTGGGAAGGTGTCTGTGCTCAATTCTACAGAGTGTGTTGTAGCGGGACTATCTCTCGTTCAATATGGAGACGCTTTGCCGTTTTTGCCACTGTTGGGTTTTCAGCACTCCTATTGTATCTGTGTTTAACTGAAGTACAACCAGCAATCGAGGGCCTACATTTCATTCAGGCAACTTGTTCAATAAATAAGACCGAGATCAGAGAATATGTTCCTTGTAACTGTGGAGCGTATACTATGGCTGCTTGCTATCCTTGTTTAAGAGTGGTGGTTTTTCTCCACGTCTCTAGAAGCGACGGAAGTACAGATTTCCAGCGAGGAAAGGAAGCATATCTGTACGAGAATTTGTACCTTCTACGTCAAAAGGTAAGGGGAAATCTTCAATTAGTAAATAATAAAAACGTGATAGATATGACGTTATCAAATTCGGCGGTTTCTTAATTCGTCCAACAATTATTACGACTGAGTGAGCATGCGCATTAGGTAGAGATGCAGGGATTTCAATCTCCCTCTCAAATTGATATTATCAATTTATCTTCTCCTACCGTAAAAAATGTCGATGTGAGCTGAGAGCTGCATACCGCCATAGAATACTTAATATAATGGTAGTGTGTCAAAGTAAAAGTTGGTCAAAATGAAATCTAGTATTCACAGTGAATTTCTTCACCAACTGGAAAAAGAGTTTTTGATCATGAAAGGCCCCTTCCAGATGAAAGTGTCCAGTAATGGGCTTCCAACTTAATTGTATTCTCCGTCTTGAATCATTGCACTACATAAAAAATTCTAAAACTGTAATTTTTTCGTCAGTGCTTCTTTCAACCACCTTCTTGCTGCGATAGCAAAGAAGATAACAAAGATGCCATAGAAGCTAAACAAAAGGAATTACACGGCCACCATGGTCACCACTTTCTGTGCTACTACAGCCCGCACAACTCCCAAGAAGTCATTCTCTACAGACATTGTTACGAATTGCTTATCATTAACAGCTTTGTGTGGCCAAGTGTTGGAATAACTGCGAGTATTCTGATCTTGAGATACCTGAGAAGACTCCGAATGGAGGAAGAAAAAGATAAAATAGAGATACTACTGAAAGAAGCGAGGGAATATAAAACCTCTGATGATGACAAGACACTGGAGAAACCTGGTCTATATTTGGACGAAGATGTATGGATCCTTAGGAACGACGACGCTAGAAGTTAAACAAAACGTTTTACATTTTCTGTAGGGACTGGGCTAGTGGCGTAGGGAGTGGGTACGAGGGGGATTATGCTGATGGAATTCCTGTGTTTTTGGCGGGAAATTTTTCCGCCAGGACGCGCGCGCTCTTCCTTATGAGGACTTGGCTATGCAACTGAGTCAAATTGTGGTACGGAAGGACGGGTGGCTCTTTTTCAGTAGAATTACATTTTACCCAATAATGCAATAAAATTGCATATCTGTAATAGGAAAAGATAGAAGCAGGTCTTCTATTGAAAAGGYTTCTCTTTGACAGACGAAATTTTCATTTATTTCTATTATAAATATTTTCGAATTTTTGTACTTTCTTTTCATCAAATTTCTTTCTACCTTTGTTGTTATTATCTGAGTTTTGTATTTCCTATCTTTCTTACTTTGGCTTCCTTCCTTTTTCCCCCTTCCTTCCTTTCTTTCCTACCTCTCCTTCTCTCTCTCCCTTCCCTCTTTAAAATTAAAATATGTCACAGACCCCTTTGATCCCTCGCTCCATTTGGAAGACACAACAAGGAAATTTTACCGTCATTATTTTGCGCTGTAATAAGCTTTATACTGAAAATGTCTGCGACCTATTATCAAAGAAAGCTAAGAAGCATTATCAATATGTTCTATTAAAAGACAATTATTTAAGATTCAAGCAAGGATATGCTGGTTCCAGGGTCAAAACGTCTCTCATGCTGTCAAGGGTCATAATCTCAGAGAAGTATTGTGGATCCAGAGACTGCGTAGGACGTAGGCTTCTTCGTCTTCCATTGCGAACTTGAAAAATCTGTGAGGGAAAAAACGATCAATGTCATACTAACAGGGGATATATTACTGAGAGGGAATAAACATTTCAGGGTTTTTCAGAATTTCAGGGACAGTACGAACCCTTCAACAAGTACGTACCACAGAAAGTTATAGTACGAACCCTTCAACAAGTACGTACCACAGAAAGTTAT